CTTTTTTAGTTTTGTTTTATGGTGCTAGTGATCAGAGCAGGTCCTCAGACATGTTAGCAAGTCCACTGAGCTTTGTCAACAGCTGGCATGAAAAGTTTCAAAAGGAATGAAAAAAAAAAAAAAATCTAGTCATGCCTTCTTTTCCTGTGTGATTAGAACTGTGAGCTAGTTTCCTAAAGGGGTAATTTCATCCTTTGACTAACCTTAAAACACATTGTTTCTTATGTCTGATGCTTGAGCAAACAGTACAAGGGACTGGAAAGACTGATGACCTGCTCATTATAAGGTGTGAGTTCTAGACCTGATTCCACCTGCATCCTAGCCTTTAGCTGGTTATTTAAATTCTGAGTAGATCCGTTAGTGACATAAAAAACACTTTGCACAGTCTGAAACAGTCAAAAGAAAGTATGAGTCCAGTTGGATTGTAAATTTTAAGATGGTATCCATATCTTACACATCTCTCTTCTCTTCATCCCCATATACCAGTTTACACTAAAAGAATTTTACAGTTTTACAGTTTACACTATTTGAATTTTTTCTCCAGGATTTAGCCAAGGAGAGAAAAAAACATGGCATTTTCATAGACTCATTTTAAAAAGTACCTTTTGGAAAAGAGACACATACTAGACAAGTGCTCTACCACAGAGCTTTAACACTAACTCTATTAAGATCCTTTGTAAGAGTTTAATAATGAGGCATTTAAACTAAAAGATCACCCAGTAATGGACTACAGCATAATTGCAATGTAAGCTACAAAGGACTGCAATGCAATCAAGACTTAGGGTATAGCTATAACCATATCATGCATTATGGTTTGTGTCCAGGTGGTCCCCCAAAGCCCCGTGCACTTTTAGATGCAGCTTGGTAGCTAAATCTAGAGTGTATGATTGATAGTGCCATGCTGGGAGTAAGGGTAGAAGTGCTACACCCGACCTAGGGCAGGTAGCCTGCCTACAGTATAAGGGACAGAAAGAGGCTTTTCTCTTGTTTTGGTATCTTTTTCCACCCTGCCTTAGAGCCAGCTGATTATGGACTGAAACCTCTACTGTGAGCTAAATACACCTTTCTTCTTTTAACCTTGGTGTTGGGTATTTTGTCTCAGCAACAAGAGAAAAGCAACTAAGACATTAGGTAATTTACACTTGTCAGCACACCTGTAATTCGAGCATTCAGGAGGCTGAGGTAGGAGGAACTGTAAGTTCAAGGCCAGCCTGAACTACATAGCAAAACCCTGTCTCAAAAAGACCCCCCCCCACCGCAAAAAGGCCAATTTTTAGACCCAGCAATTGCTGTTTTATGCCACATGATTTTGATGTGTACTAAAATCTGAGAACAACTTGGCTAGCATGAAAATGGGATAGAGAGAGGTTGGTAATCCCACTGACAAACTATAGAGTGAAAAGGATTGGTAGGCATCAACCTAATTCCATTAAATAGTCAATTCACCTAATGGCTCTTTTGTAAGGAACTTTCTATTCATAGTTATTTAACATGTAGTTATACCCACACACACACAAGAGCTTTTGATATGTCCCTTGTGAAAGTATTTTTCATGGCAAATATAATGAAGCTTCTTTGGGTGATAGTTTGCCTAGACTGGGAAGAGAAAAGGTAGATATTTTAGAGTATCCCTGGTAAATTAGAAATACACTATTGTGTGTCTACCTCAGCCCCACAGAGTTTAAGAAATCTATCAGAACCCTCATTCTTAGACATTAACCTAGGCAATCTCTGGAAAACAAAGGCCAAGTGAGGCCCTCATTCTCATCAGTTTTCCTGACACTTATACTTTCCCTCTTTTTGTGCCAACCTTATTTCTCTTTTATTTATGAAAGGTTAAGGTACTGTTTAAAAGGCCTTTATACCACCACTCAAAGAAAATATTTTCTCTAAAAACATTGTATTTTCCTAACTATTCTTTTTCTCCCCATTCCCCCAAGCAAAAACCCAGTTAGTTCTCTTGTTATATTTTCTCCTAGTATTATGTATATTTTGTTTACATAACTTACCACAATTGCAGTTTTTATGCAATTTAATTCATAAAATTAAGTGCATATCTGTTTAATGTCCATCTCTTGCACTAGGCTATCAATCTAATAACTAAAACGGGACCCTGCCTCAAGTTTGTTCCTCACTGATGCTGTGCATAGTTGCTTAGTAACTGACCAAGAAATAAAACTACTGAGCTTAATAAACTGGGATATGTGTTATTGACCACCGTACATTGAATGAGAAATTTGTTGCCATTTGCTGCAGTTCACCAGGCAAAACACAAATAGCAAAAATAATAAATTGACCTTTTTCATTTCAGTTCTGAAATTTGCCAGTAAGGTATTTGTTTTTAAACATACCTACTTAATCCACTAGAGGGCAATAAACTCTTACAGACAGTTTAACCAACCTTTAAAAATAAAGCAGTGAGTGCTTTCATAATTAATTTAGAAATGAATCCCAAAATTTCATGCTTAAGTTTTTTTGTGTATTGATGAATTGCCTGGCAACTATACAGTAAACTTTTTTAAGACAGGAAGTGTTATTTTTAATTATTTACCTCACATTTAACATAGTGTCTTTGTCATGGTACAGGTTTAATGCATTTCTTAAAGTTTGCATATGATAACAGTTGTATAAGGAATCTTGTTTGATGAATGGTCACATAGTTGTGGTACAATATAGAATTCTATTTTAAAACACTAAAGAAAATATTTTATGTCCAGGATACCACCATAATAACAATAAAGCTAGAAGTTAGAATGAAACAAATGATGATTAAAATAAATATTAAATAAGGTGCTGTGTATGAAACTACCATGCATAGAAATACAAGATTATTTTGTGATGAGGTAAAATTGTGTTCTTTGCTCAATACTATGTGGCAAAGATGGCTGAGGAGTAAGGAAGTGGAAAATCGCCTAGAAGGTTTATAGCTAAAGTTCAGACTGACAGTTTTTAAGCTTGGCACTGGACACAAAGAGATGATCCTTCTAAGGTCTTATTCCAGTTCTGGGAAAGGACATATGAAACAGATAAACTTATTAGAATCTGGTAAGTGACAAAGTAAGGTCACTTAACCTGGGAAAGCTTCTTGGAGGAGACCCCTGTGAAGAATCTTAATGAGTAAGCATTAGCCAGGAGAATGAAAGAGTGTTTTAAATGGGATTAAGAGTGGAAAATAGCAAAAGCATAAAAATATGAAACATGCTATAGGGACAGGAGGCAAGGAACACAGATCAGATTGCCTTTTTGTGTTTCCCTTAGTATAAATTTTTAGCACATAAATATCAAGAAAGACTCAAGAGAAAAAACACAGTAGTACAAGGTATATGGGGCGGAGAAAAACCATCCTCTTTTTTTTAATGCTTTTTAGAGGAGGATATAAATGGAAAAGGGAAGGGGCTGGGGATTTAGCTCAGCGGCAAAAGCGCCTGCCTGGCAAGCACAAGGTCGTGAGTTCGGTTCCCAGTACCGGAGAAAAAAACCCCAAAAAAAAATGGAAAAGGGAAATCATATATACGCCTACTCTGTTAGGAAGTTCTGCTTAAGATTTCATTCAGTGAATGTTTATTTGCACTTACTATGTGCTAAGCCCTGGGGATGTAGTAGAGAAGGAGATAAACTAGGTCCCTGTCTTTATGAAGTGTTTGGATTAGTAGAACATAGAACAAGCACAAGTAAGTAAATGCATATATATGATTGTTACAGAGCATGATTAGTACTGTGAAGGATAAAACAGGTGATGCTGCGGAAACTTAGGAAAAATGTGTCTATTTAAAATAAAGTGATGCTATATGAGGGAGTAACATAGTTAGATATTGAAGGATACAAAGGAGACAGATGGCTATTGTAAGAGCTAGGGAAGAAAATTCTAGGCAAAAGAACAGTAAACACACAAGCCCAAGAAGGGAAATTAATGGGAGGAGTAGGGAGAAGGCTTCGCTTGTAGTACAGTGATTTAAGGGAGATAGTGATAAGAGCTCAGGGAATTTGGCAAGGTCTAGATAACCCAGGGCCCCAAAGACTATTGTAAGGATTTGAGGCTTCATTCTAAATAGGATTTTAAGTAGGTAAGAGATGGCATTTTCATAGAGTTGTGCCTTGTATCTCTTGTAGCTCACAGTTAGGTGTATACCACTTTACACCCCACCCCAAACTGGAATTTAGGAGATGTGAAGAGAAGATGCCTTTGCTGATATGTATTCCATTATTTGTTACATTGTAAAATAATGAAGTCTTAGCAGTTTTTTGTGTCCTTTCTGCTTTTCCTTTGTATCCTCTATCACTTATTCTGCCTTTTTCCTGGAAATTGCCTTGTGTCCTAAGGCAACAACCAAATCTTGGAATACCTGTCTGCTTTTGGTAGAACCTTGTATCTTAGTATACCTAAAGGTTTTAAAAGGATAAGGATAAAAAAAGGATTCTGTTTTTCTTTCTGTGCTCCTTTAGTAATATAAATGAATGATCTATATGTTTATCTTTGTGAATTTCTGTCTTTTGCCTTGAATAGCAAGATTTTGTTTTCACAAAAATGTTAACTAATAGACAAGAGTAGTATCAATATAGGGCCAGGGATATAGCTCAGTGGCATAGCTCCTACCTGGCAAGTGCAGGGTCCTGAGTTCAATTCCCAGTATCAAAAAAAAAAAGTGAGGCCAAGAGTAGTGTCAATATAAGAGCTCCTTTCCATAGTCATGACGTTTCTGTGTTTATGATCATCCTTATGAACTATAGTACCTATGAGACAAAAAATAGACTGTCTCAGGATCCCCTCTGCTGTCCAAGGGCTCTTCCCCACGCCCCACCCGAAAGATAATGTTTTGCTGTTGCTCTGTTCTACTCTGTAACCACAAGGTTTCAACAGCCTCTTTGCCCCCTGGTAACTCCAAGATAACAAGATCAGCTGAACTGCTTCTGAAAAATTCCACTCAGTTCACCCTGACCCCCAGTCAACTAAAACAAAGGTATAAAACCCCAGCTTTCCCAAGGCTCAGGGTTCAAACTTGGAACTCCTCTTGGCCAGCCGATTTAATAAAGCCTGGTCCCCTCCACTTCTGTAGAGTGCCACTCCTATTTCCCACACTACCGATAAATCTGGCTTTGCTGTAACACCTAGAAGATTCTGATTTTTATATTTTATATGATATTAGTGGATTCCATTTTGTTGGACTGTGCTGATAGAGGTCACAGACAGTTCCCCTTTTGCAGAAATTGAAATCCTTACCAAATGTTATGAGCAAAACTTGATACAGCTTTATCTTAAACTTGTGTAGACCTTTCTTTCAGTGTTGCCAGTAAGCTAATCAGTGAAAATAATTAGAAAACAAACCACCATTTATTTTTTTTTAAATATGAAGAAAACACTGCTATTTTGTTGTTTTACTTCTTTGATGTGTTTTACATAAGAATCTTAAAAACCCTTCAAGCCTCCTTTGGCCCATGTAACATTTTGCTTTTTCTGTTTACTAAAGCTGAAAACTCTTTTTCTTTAAACTATAAAAATATGCTTACTAAAATCTAGGAAAGCAATTTTTCTGCTCAAAAGAACCATTTTCCACCAGTTATGGACATTTAAAAGATTCACGTAGAACTGAGTGGTGACACAAACCTCTAGCTACTCAGGAAGCTGAGGCAGGAGGATCACTTGAGCCCATGAATTTGAGATCAGCCTGGGCAACACAGAGAGACCCTGTCTCCAAAAAAAACAAAAAAAAAACAAAAAAAGGGTTTATGAAACATCCTTTCTAAGCTGGGCATGGTGGTACACACTAGTACTCCCAGCCTTATGAGGCTGAGGCAGAAGGATCGTTGCAAGTTCGAGGCCAGCCTGGACTACAAAGTGAGCTCAAGGGCAGCCTGAACTGCATAGCGAGATCCTGTCTCAAAAAGACAAAAAAAAGAAAAAGAAACATGCTTTCTGTTAAAATTATAAACACATTCTGTATTTTCTTGTAAGGGCATACAAATGTTAAATGATATTTCTCCTGAACTATTAGACCATTTATTCAGAAATACTTGATTAAGCCACTCTGCTCTATTTTCTCTTAATAGTTTTAATGAGGAAAATATTAATTTTCCAATACACTGACACTGTTCACTTTAAAACAGGCTGGGTGTGGTGGCCCGCCCCTGTAATCCCAGCTCTTGCATGAGTCTTAGGCAAGGAGGATCAAGGCGAGTTCAAGGCCAGCCAGGGCTACACAGTGAATTCAAGGTCAGCCTGGACTGCATAGCGAGACCTTGTCCCCCCAAAAAAGTAAAAAGACAACTTACTAGCTAAAATTAGTTAAATGGTTTTCCTAAGAAATGGTTATGCATATATGAATAAAGATTTGCCATTTCTCTCCTTGGTTATTTTGTCTTGTAGGTCCCGGTGTAAACACATGACTAGAAAAAGGAAATTTCTTCTTGCCTCAGTACTTGCTCTCCAGAATTTGAGTTTTATATACCCATCATGTCAAAAGTGCTTCTCTCGGATAATCCTCGGCTCCAAAAGGTAAAAGTAAAACCTGTAAGCATGAAACAGAAAGTAAAAATATATACTGAAGGGCAAGTAAGGACTAAACCACCATACTAGGATATTATATTCTCTCAGGGACTCTTAGGGATTGGTTCTTCTGCAAATCCCAGAATAGAATTGGCTGGTAATCCAATTTCTAGAGGAAAGTTTCAAGTTACCGCAAGTCTTGCTAAATACCTGCTTTGGAGAAGAAGGTTTTGGTTTAAAAAAAAAAAAAAAAAAACAGCACAATTCCAGGATATCTCTAGAAATTAAGTAGGAGTTGACGGTTTTTCCACAGCTCCCAGATTATTTTTTATAAATAAATGAACTACTTGAGGGCAGGCACTATGTTATATTAAGTATCCCTGATCAGAAATGCTTGGGACCAGAGGTATTTCAAATTTTCGGATTTTTTCAGAGTTAGGAATATTTGTAGAGACTTTACTAATTGAGCATCTAGACCAAAAATTTGAAATCCACAATGCTTCAAAATCTAAAACTTTTTGAATGTCCTGTGAGTACTCAAGAAGTTTTAGATTTGGAGCACTTAGATTTCACATTTTCTTATTATGGGTGTTCAACCTGTAGTAATCACTATCCTTCAGCAGCTAGAATGGGGTCTAATACATGAATCTTTGATGTTGAGATGTTAGCCAAGTTTAGCAGAGAGCCAAAGATTCTCTTATCTTTATAGAGAAATAGGAGGTTAAGCTTGGAGTTGCACAGAGCACTCTCTGTATGTAGACAATGTAAATACATCAATAAGTACCTAGTAGTGTGTAAGAGTAGTGTGCCAGCAGTATTCTTAACTAGTCTTTTTGTCTAATTAGCACTGAACAGGGGGGTGGAGAGGGATTAGCAGTTCTAACGCATGTTTAGAGTCAAAATCATCCTTGTATTTGTAAGCCACTGTAGTTCACATTTGTAAGCTCTGAGAGAAAGACCTCATTTGTGTTTTTCATCATTAAATCCTTGGCATCCAGCCTAGGGCCTAGTTAATAGGAAATACTCAACAGATGTTTGTTAAACGAATCAATAAATGACAGTTTAATAGTATCTAGGTTGTCTTAGCTTCACCCATTTTCAGGTCCCTGCCTATCACAAAACAAGTCACAATCACAGGGTATTTGTCTTATCTAAATCTTAGTTTTAGAGGCAGTATGGTATAATGGAATGATCACAAGCTTCAGGGAACACAACAGGGTTTTAGATAGGCTCTCACACTTACTAACTGGATGGCTCAGGGCAACACATGTAACTTCTGTGAGTCTAATTACTCATTTGTAAAGTGGGATAGTGATTATAGAGATAATGAACAAAAAACTCAAAGTTTTTATTAAAGATCTATTATATGTATACTTTACCTATGTAGTATGTCATACTATGTAATCCTGTGGAGCCAGACTGCCTGGGTTCAAATCTCAACTCTTCTTTCTATAATTGCTTGGCCTTGGGCAAGTCACTTAAATCATCTGAGCCTAAAACTAAGAAAAGTAACTTCTGTTTCACAGGGTTCTTATAAGTTAATGTACTTATTTGATATATATGTTAATACATAATTGGTAATATATATAATGTATAAAATGTTTTTAAAACTTTTTTTTTCCAAGTTGTTTATTAAAGATAATCTTCAACAGAAATTTAGGTTGAACAGTAAGTCCACTTTAGACTGGTCATACCGATATATGACATCAGTGAATGTTTTACTGTACACTGGGTTCTATGGTAGGGGTTTTTTTGGCATTATATCGCTTTCATACAATAAGCCTATGAATTGGGTGCTACTGTTAATGCCAACTTCCAAGAAGACAACTAAAGGTTAGAAAAGTTAAGTAACTTGCCCCAAATCATATAGCCAGCTAGGTAGAGGCAGAAACATTCAAGTCTAAACAATGTGATTATTGTCTACATTCACAGTCACAATATACTTCTAAATTAGTAGTGGAATTTTAGTGCCGTCTCTTTCTTAGACCTTAATGCCCTGAGGAAGGAGCTCTTGACTAGACCATTGAGGCACATAAAACCCCAGTGCACTTGGTCCTTGCCAGTGAAAACATAGTCTACAGAAAAATGACCTGTTCTTGACACATATCACATTGATAGTACCACAAAAAATCTTTTCTGCCTCTGCTTTTTTTCTTACTTAGAATCAGCCAACACAGGAAATAGAAATACCTCACTTTTATTTCCCCAGATTCCACACTCTAGCTTTTTCAAAAGATCTTAAAGATACTAAAAAGCAGAGACTGCTCCCTAAAGGTTTTATTTCTACCTCAGATCCTTAGCAACAGCCATAGTAGATGTTTTGTGTTTTATGGAGTTACTTTTCTCTCTCTCTTTTTTTTAACTTCCAAGATTAAGCACTGGCAGTTTTAAAACTATATTCTACCGAGCCTTGGGGCTCTATAGTAGTGCTTCTAGTGGGAGTAGGGTTACAGTAGTAATTGTGGATAGTGCTAAGTAATAACTAAGGCTATGTAGCCCCCGCCTTAGTTTCAACAAGACATCTGTTTTCATCTTTATGTTCAGATTCAAAGTTAGATATCAGTTGAAGAAAGGTTTCAGGATATATATATAAACATACAAATGGGTGGGTGGACAGATGGACGGATGGACAGATGGATGTAAAATGATAGTTTGGAGCTAGAGGTATAGTTAAGTGATAGACCATTTACCTGGCATGCAAGAGGCCTTGAGTTCAGTTACCAGAACCGCAAAAAAAGTGTTTAGTCCACTATATAAAGTACACTTAGCCAGGTAAACATATGTGTGTGTATATATGATAGTATATGTGTACTCTCCCAAAAATAATGACCAAGGGAGGGAATTTATCCAGATAAAGCTATCCATCCAGCCTAAGCATGCAGATTGCCCTTCTGGGTGAGTTAGTCTACAGTTTATACGTCTCTGACCCTAGTAACTTTCTTTTCCTATCTTAAAATGGAAATAAGCTCAGAAACTACTTACTCTCTTCTCTGCTCCTACCACCCAAAAAATTTGTTATCATTTACTTATCTAGTCAAAGTATTCTTAACCTGGAATCTATAGATGGATTATAGATGTGTACACATCCTCCATTCTCCAGAATATGTAAAATATTACAAAATGGATGTGTGCATTTCTCTAGGAAAGAAAGTCTCATTGCTTTTATCAGATTTTCAAAGAGCTCCAAGGCCAAGAAACCACTAAAAATCATTGATCATAACAATTCAGCTTTTGTGATAAATAGAAGTACAGCAGAAAAAAACAAATGAAACTTGGTGTGTTAACTAGGAGCAAAGAGAAAAGTAGCAGATGACAGCTGTTATTTCAGGTAGCTCAACTCAGAGGCTCCTTGAGCTCAAATCTATTTTCGTAACAATTGTAAGGCAATTCTAAAACAACCTTACATTTTACTCTTGTTGTCTCAGGCATGTCTAGTAGTTTCCCAGAATAAACAAGCAGTGTTTTGCAATACAAGTAGTTCAAGATGCTGAATGTCGTATGATCACAACTGAGCCAATGGTTTCTCTCTTTCTCTCTCCTTTTCCTTCTCCCTCTCCTTCTCTCCCTGCCTCTTCTTCCCTCTCTCCCTTTTCTTTCTCTTTCCCTGGGGGATGTGGGTAATTGTCTCTCAACAGCACGAGGTTAAAGAGAAGACCTCTGCAGAGGAGGAGAAAAGGGTTGATGAAATCTCTCACTTCAAATGAGATTAGGGAGATGTGTAAAATATGGGAAAAAGTGAAAAGTTTTGTAGAAAAGCACCACATGAAAAAGGCTGTAGCAGTGCAAAGGGTGAATCTGTTTAAGGACAATATAGTGTCACATTTCCGTGAAATCCTCAAGAGGAGAGATAACCAAGTGTCATTGGATAGGTTCCTTGTTAAAACTACAGGAAAAGAAAAAAGATTCCACTGAGCCAGTAGATAGCAGTAATTCAGATAGTGATAGTGAAAGACTCCTACACAATAACTCTTCTCTCTTATCTCCCTCACACCAGCCATAAAAGTTTTCAAGGTCAAATGCAGGTTAATTTATTTTTCTTTTTTTTTGTTTGTTTATTTTTCTTTATATTTTGTTTTCTTTATTATTTTGTATTAGAGTATTATAATCATTTTTATATGAAAATTTTTGGGTTGTTTAACAAATCATCTGAGTTTCTATTATTTTTTTAATAAGGCAATTCACTTTGATATGTAAGTGCTTTGGATTACAAGTATGTTCCTGGAATAAATTATGCTTACAAACCAAGGTTTTACTGTATTTTTTTAACCATATAATGGGTCTATTATTTTAACGAATTAATATTTTGTAGATTTTTCTTTCTTTTTTTTTTTTTTTTTAACTAGTACATATTTTGCCATACATGATGATCACATCTATCATGGGCAGTTTGTACCTGTACATAACATATCTTAATTCTTTTCCTTCCCATTCCCCTTCCCTCCGTTCATCACTTCTTTCCCTCCCCCATTTACAAAAGCTGTTTCTGGTTTTTTCCCTCAGTTCTCTTTTTTTAAAATCTCTTTTCCCTTCCTTCCCTTCCCCTTCCTCCAATCCCTTATTTCCCTTCCCACGTGAACAAGTTCTTTCTATTCCTAATTATCTATCCTTCATTTTGCTCCTTATTTACACTTAACATTTCTCATACAAAAGAAATAATGCAATCTTTAAACTTGTTTGTCTGATTTATTTCACTTAAGTTTGTGGTCTTGAGATGCATCCATTTACCTAAACATGTCCAGGTTTCTTTATGGCAGAGTAGTACACCATTGTATATAAAAACCACATTTTCTTTATCCATTCATCTATTGGTGGGCTGTTTCCAAGATATAGCAATTATAAATTGTGCTGCTATAAACATGTGTATGCATGTATCACTGGGGTATGATGACTTTAACTCTTTTTAGAAGATACCTAGAAAGAAATAGCCAACAGAATCTGATTTAGTTTTTTGAGGAATCTCCACATTGATTTCCATAGTACCAATTTACATTCCCACCAATAATAGAGAAGGGTTCCTTTTTCCCCACAGCCTCACCAGCATTTGTTATTAGTTGGTTTCTTGATGATAGCCTTTCTTTCTTGAATGAGATGTAATCACAGTGTTGTTTTAATTTTCTGTTTTATTTTAACTTGGTTTCTTAGAAATACAGATACAAGATGAAGTCCTAGGGATCTGATGTATCACGTGAATGATGATGAATATGTTCACTTGATTGTGTACTATGTCTGTGTTTTGAGTCATGTTGTATATCTTGAATATATTCAGTCTTTGTCAACTGAATATTTTAATTTTTAAAATATAGATGTTTATTATCCACATAAACAAAAGTTCTTTGGTGGGTTTTTTGTGGGTTTTTTGTTCTTTGTTTCTTCCAGTACTGGGAATTGAACCCAGGGCCTTCACACTGAGCTGCATCCCTACTCCATTTATGTATGTATGTATGTATGTATGTATTTATTTTTGAGACAAGATGTCTCTAAGTCCATAAGTTGCCCAGGCTGAGCTTGAAGAGTATAAATAATCCTTGTTGTAGTCAGTATTTTCAAGAGAAACATTTAATATAGGCACACAAATTTATACGATTAGCTGCCAGTATCCACCTACAGAGTAAGTGTAGAGTGCATGAGACCTGTCCACATGCTAGAGATCCAAAGAACCCAGCTGAAGACCTGGAGCCCAGGGCAGTGTTCTGTACGAGTCCGGTATTAGGAGGCTGAGTCTGTTAGGAGGAGGGCGAGGAATCTGCAGTAGAAGACCAGAGGGTCTGCACCTGAAAGCCCACAGCCAGTGCTGGAGGCTAGAGAGCCTGCGCAGGCGGAAAAGTAGGTGCTGAGAGCTGAAGAATCTGTGCAGAGAGCCAGGAGAGGACACCCAAGGCGCAGGTGAAGACCAGAGCTCCTCCGAAGAGAAACAGGAGCCATCCCTGGCAACAGTCCTAGCTCAGCCAAGCCCAAAACCCTTCAGAGGAACATTAGCCACAATGAAGCTCTTCCAAGGAAAATCCGTATGAACTCCTTCCCTCCCGTATCCTTTTATACCATTCTCACAGTAGGCCTCCTTAAGCGTTTTCCACACCCAGAACCATGCTGACTCAATTCAGCTGGGCTGGGTGTTCCTCGTTCAGATTGACAGTTAATCAATTAACCACCACAATCCTGAAATCAAAAAATCTGAAAACTGGTTATTGCATAATAAATGACAGTTTAGAAGTAAGGATGTCTGGAAATTAAATTGGGACCATGATTTGAAGATGTTGTCTGTACCTTTGCTTTTCAAAAGTGTGGTGGAAGAAACATTTGCTGTACTATTACAGTTTATTACAAATGCAAAATCCTGGTGGGACTTGGTGGCCCATGTTTCTGTAATCCAGCACCCTGGGAGGCAGGAAGATTGCAAATTTGAGCCCAGCTTGAGTGATTTAGTAAGACCTTGTCTCAAAAACATATATATATATATATACACATAAATGAGTAAATAGGGTCTGGCAGTACATACCTCAGTGTGAAGGCCCTATGTTCAGTCCCTTGTACTTCAAAAAGAAAGGAGGAGCATGCAGAATTGTCCCAGACTCACTGAATCCAAATTTTAATTTTAACAAAATCACTAGGTGAGTTTTATGCAATTACAGGTTGAGAAGTGCTAATCTGTATTGTACCATTATTAACATTTGTTTCAATCTAGCATGATTCCCAAAAGGATTTTTAAAACTATATAAATAAATATCTTCGATATGCATATGTGTCTTGTAAAAGTAGGTATAATTCAGTGTGTGCATGTGTTAACAGAAATAGACGTAGTTTTTGTTAGGCTATCGTTGATGCTCTCTTTGCAAAATATCTTATTAGCCATATTGTTCTCATAGTTATCAGGACCTCATACAGGAAAGAATTTTAGGCTAGGAATCCAGAGCTTGGATTTGTGTCATAAAATTCATAAATTTTATCTCCTTGGGCAAAAATTCAGCCCAGTTTCCCCATTTGTAAATGAGCTAAGTACAGAATGAGATAATATACATTGAAAACATTTATAAACAGCAAAACATTGATGAATATCAATTTTCTAAAATTTACTAGGAATTTTACATTATATATACATGCATTATTAATGCATAACCTTTAAAAGTTCTAATATCTATTTAAATCCTTAGTTCACTTCACTAGAACTTCATACTAAAGCGAGACTGTTTTATTTCCTATTGAGTTCTCCTTATTTTGTGGCCAGCCTACTGCACAATTTTGAATATCATTGCATGAATGGATTGTACAGATCCATCCTCGCTGTGGGGGAGAAAGCAATAATAACTAGCACAAATCTATGATGGTGAATCAGTACTGTCTTACATAAAGGAGTCATTTGAAAGTCACTTTGAGAACTAGCGATTGTATACTCCCCCTAGTGGTTATCTGGCAGCAGCCAACTATATACAGCTGTCTTTACCACTGGTTTCTGTTTGCCCTTTGCCACTATTTTTAAGCCAGATCATTAGCAACATGACAGAAAAGAAAGATATTTTAGGGGATAATTTGCTAAATTAAGAACCTGAAAAGTAGAAATCAGGCTTACATTATTGCAGACTAGAAGAGAAAAATAGAAGTGACAGTTACTTATCACTGTGATATTTTGCATAATTATGAGGGAGGAGGAGGCCAGCACATTAGTTTGGCAAGATTTACATTGTACTCTTTGTCTCGTTTTACCCTCTCTTAGCCCTAAATTTTACAGAAAAGGTATTAACTATTTCAGGAATTTGATTTCTGTCCCAAACCAGGTCCACTGGTACATGACAGTAGAATTTTTCTTGGTGTATACTTTTTGCCTAGAAAGCCTTTGGCCACACTGCATATTGCCTTGAAAACAGGTTAAATTGAGTGGTTTTTATATTTAATTTGTTTGTAATTTGGTAATTTTCAACATATTCCATAGTTAATCGTTACACATATAAATATTTTAATGTTAGTCTCATTCTTTTCCCATATGCACACGCAGTTTTCGTCACTTTCTTAGCAGTTGCATTTCTATGAGTTTGGTGCTATATAATTTAAATCAGCAGAGCCAACTGTTAATAGAGAAATTCAAAAGAATTGATCCTAGTTTATGAAAAATGTAAGTTACTAGGAATGTTTGTATAAAACTATGACTTAAAACTTTTACTCTGTGTTTCATCACATGGAAAACAATTTAATTGAACAGCTCTATACTTTTCTCCTCCACTTTCTAGGTCTAGTTGTCCAAAATGTGGCTGTACTGGTGAAGTGGAAAATACACGTTACAGATACAAACTTTCCTTAAAAGTTGCAGAAACAAACAAATTGTTTTTCATTACCGTATTTGGAAGCTGCTTAGATCCATTTTTTGGTCTTACTGCCACTGATTTGCACAGGTAACAATGTTGAAAGTATTCTTTCTGGGTGCTCTATTAGTGTGCTAATAGAATTTAAAGATAGGTGTTTTTAAGGTAATAAGCAGTAAGTAAAAAGATAAACTTTCAATCTTACATCATCAGTACCTTTAAAAGATAATCAAGTGAGAAAGAAAAAGATTTATCTTATGAATAAATACAGTGTTGGTGTAACACCAGCTTTCCTTTATTGAGTGTAGCTAAACTCATTAAACTATTAAATTAAAATCCTCTAAGTTTGAGAAATTCAGATAAGAAAGTAATTTCAAAAGAAAAGACTATCCAAATTGAGGCTTAAGGGGCCTGGGGATTTAGCTCAGGCACAGCACCTGCCTGGCAAGCGCAAGGTCATGAGTTTGATTCCAGTACTGGGGAAAAAAAACCAAAGAAAAAAAAATTGAGGCTTAACATTAAAATGGTTGCATCCCAGAGGCAGGAGAAGCTAGTTAAGGTATTTGCATGTATTTGCATATTAGAAGCTGAAATTTTATCATTCTTTGACTTGTGACTTGCATGGCAACTTGATGAGTATAGTTTGACTTAATGGGACATAGTCCTCAGAATGTAAGGATCTATATAAACAGCTGAAGCTTTCTCTCCTCATCCTTCTGCCTTTCTCACCTAATCTCGTGGCAGAAGAAATCTCTCTTCTTGTGGTTGAAGACAAACTGATTTGAAGGAAGAGATGCTAGAGGGACCCTGACAGAATTGCCAGGAAAAGCACTCCCCACCCCAGCTTTTATTTTCCACTGGTATAATTGCCAGGCCTGATGATTAGGCAAGCATCTATTGTATTAATACTTGATTGGTGACATTTTTGCTTTTGTTTATATTTTCGTCTTTCTCTGCTAAGGTAAATTAGAGGGAATGAAATACCTTGCTCATGAAGACACTTTTTTTCTGTATATGTAATTCAAAAGGTTCATGTTGTATTTTAAAACTAACTGTGTCTTTGGACTCTTTTGCAAATTAAATTTTCCAAGTTTCTCTCTTCACATTTTTTGTCTTCTTTCCAGGTGCATTCATGATCCTAATAACATTTCAGAAACACTGGACAGTGATACAGTTCAGGACCTGTTAGCCAAAGCAGTTGAAACTTGCTTTGTTGGGCAAAGCTTTATTTTTGGAGTGACGGTAATTGACACTACCTTTCTTTTTAATGTTGTCTTAACCTTTGTGGGGGGGGCAGGGTAGGTGGTACTGGGGCTTGAACCCAAGGTCTTCACACTGAGCTATATCCCTGGGCCTTTTTTAATTTTTTATTTTATGACAAGGTCTATCTAAGTTGCCCAGGCTAACTTGAGACCTCCTGCCTTATCCTTTCAGAGTGCTGTGATTAGAGGTTGTAGGCCGCAGCTAGGTTGGGCTTTCATAATTTCCAATGTAACTAAATGATTTGGATTTTCTAAATAGTTCAGAGGAGTTATATAAATAGATTTGAAGGTCTGTAGAAGCTCTTTAAACCATAAAGATAGCTTGTAAGTGATCCATTTAAACATTACTCTAAATAATTTCCTCTTTCAAAAGTCAGAAAAGTCCAGTTCAAATGCTTTCAGAACTTTAAAAATATACATTTGTTATAAATAAAATTTTAAAATGTAAATTTTTTTTTTTGGTTTGTTTTTTTTTTTTCCAGTACCGGGAATCGAACTCACGACCTCACACTTGCCATGCAGGCACTGTGCCGCTGAGCTAAATCCCCAGCCTCTTAAAATGTATATTTTTAAAATGTAAATTTATTATAAATTTAGGAAAGTGTTAGACATTTGATTTTTTTAGCTTATGTTTTTACTTCACTTTCCTAATTTTGCTCACATTATGTGGTAAATTTTTCATTGATTCTGTAGTTTTTAATTCTGTCATCTGTAAGAAGAGGAGGGAACTAACATTAAAGTCAAAATATCTGAGTATTGGTGGGAAAGTTAAGAATAGGTTAAGAGGAAAAGTCTTGAATAATTATGAAAATGACTGTAGAAGGAGTTAAAAACAAGTCCTGACTCTGAAGGAGAAATAGTTTACTGTCTAATTTACACTGAAGGAGACACATGTACTAGAATTAGGGTTTTAAAAAGAATAGATCACCCCACAACTGAACCGTGAGAAAACCCTAAAGAGAAGGTGAAACCCAGAGGTTTGGCTTTCTTCATTTTTTTTTCTTTCTTTCTTCGCTCTTCCTTCCTCCTTCCTTCCTCTAACAAATAAAATGGTAATTACCATTTATAAGCAACTACTTTTGCAAAGCACTGTGCAGTTTTGTTATTGCTAAACAATAATCCACCCTTTTTATATTTATAAATGAGAAAATTTCGTTATGAGAAGGAAATGAAAATAAGAAATGTTCCTTACTCCCATTTTTATCCTCCTGTACCTTCTGTTCTGCCCATAATACCAAAGGAACTGAAATTAGAGGGGGTAGAGGTTACTTCTATCTGCTTTAACTTTTAAAATCTTGGTTTTATTTGAGTCAAAAGAAGACCATGTTAGTCTTACTTAAATTAATTTTTTTTTCACAGAATTTTGAAAATCATTGTGGACATGGTTCAGATTCCAATAACTTCTTACAAAGGTGTCATGATCTCAGAAGAAAAATCAGAGCGCTGGTAGCTTGCCAGATCCTTCTGCCAGACCCACGTGCTGCAGGCTTCACTGTCATTGACTGTTTCCATCAGTTTTTGCAGACTTCCAACTTGAGGAAGCTGCACTGTGGCTCCCAGAAACCCAGCAGCCAGTTACTTTCTTTAGATCACTCCAGTAGTGATCACAGCAGCATACGTGATTCTGACAGCACTTCCTGTTTTTCTGAGTCTCACCCTAGAGATAATGTTTCAAGATTCGGGCACCTATCACTTGAACTCACCTCTACTGTTTCACAGCTAACAGATAAGGAGGATTTTTCAGCTTCAGAACAAAGCACGGCCATTGGTACTCCTCACCAAAACAGAAAGTGCTCGTCCTTGCCAGAGATCACTGGTTCCAGTGATTGCCATAATTCCATTCAGGGTTCCTGGAGCCTTGTTTCATATACGGACAGAAAAAGTACCCCAAAAATGTTGGGTGAAGAACTTGGCTTACAGGGTAATCAGCTGAGTGTAGTTCACAGCAGTCATCACAAAACTAGCATTGCTAGCTCTAATTTGTTCCCTTTGAAAATGCAAGAGCCCCTTGAGTCTAGTATAGAATCCTTCCATGATACAGTAGAAATTGAAAATAGGTATTCCCCAGATGAGCTACCATGTTACCAATGTCAGTATGTAGACAACACTAGCCATCAAGAGATAGCTACCTCTTGTTCACCTGCACCACTCAGACCTGAAGAGGTAACCAGCAGTTCTCAGGATTTTGACCCTGTGTTTTGGGATGACCTTCCATTATCAGAAAGCCTGGACAAGTTTCTGGCAGTTGTTGAAAGTGAGGTTGCTAAAACCCCAAGAGATGGCAGGAATAAGAAACATAATATAGATAATGACATAGATAAATTCCATACAGACTACACCAGGTTATCTCTGTCTCCATGGAGAACTACTGGAGCACTGTGTACACCACCTGCACCTTTAACATCATCACAAGCAACAAACAAAGCAAACTCTACCAAAGATAACTTCCTTTCTAACTGTGAAGCAAATAAGGGTTCTAGTATTCATAAGGAGTCACAACCAGTTAACGCAGCAAATGGTGTCTCCATAAGCAGTAATGGAACAGCAGAGGCTATATGTGCAAGCAGTAGTGGAAGGAGTGTTTCAGACTATTCCACACCAAAAACTTGTCTGTCAGCTCTGTTTCTATCTTCAAAAGATTTAGAAACAACCATTACTCTTAAGAAAACTATTGAAATTCTGCCACAGAGAGAGAAAATTTCACCTATGCCCAGTACTTCAGAGAATGACCATTCTTACCTTGGTATCAAATATTTTAGTGGATGTGGGGAAAAGTCACTTTCAGAAGTGAATGAAAGGTTGACAACTTTGTGTTCTAAGGCATACAATGATGTTTCTGAGCTTTGCAAACTAGAAAACAAACATTGTATGTGGCCAAAGAACCAACATGATATTTTTACAATTTGTAGGAAACTTACATATCCTTTAGAAACTCCTTGCAGTAGTCCTGGTATTAGTACAAATACGTTGAAAGAAATGTCATATGGACATATCGATAATAATTTAACACAAAACTCTCCTTGTCATGAAAACTCTCTTGGTCACTACAATGCTTCTGCTGATCTCTTTGAGGATATTGCTAAAGATATAGACATTACAACAGAAATTACCAAAAAATCGAAGGACGTTGTATTACAATGGGAGACATCTTTGGCAGAAAAACATCTTGAAGAGTCTGAATTTTCACTAAAATCACTTTCTGAAAACTCTACCCAGTCTTCAGAAAAATTATCCTTGCAAAGCATATCTGCCTTCGGGTATCCAAGAACATGTTCTCCTCTGCCTCATCCTCAGTCAGATTTGGAATATGATCTTGAAGACAGCCAAAACTTTATTCCATGTTCACAGTCCACTCCAGTTACAGGAGTCTGCCACACAAGAACTCATGGGATACATGGAATTTTCAAAAAATTACCTGTACTTTATGCAAATATTAACGCTAACTATAACAAAACACAAATATCTCCTGAAAATAACACACAGCAAGCCATTCCAAGTTGTCCACAAAATATAAAAGTACATAGCCAGAAATCCAGAAGCCCTGTTATAACTGCTATTACACAACCAAAGACTTTCAACCACTGTACTGTTGCTGAGTGCTCTGAAACTGAGGCAGATGAATGGGTCCCCCCTACCACAAAGAAAGTGTTTCACTCAGATAGCCGTGGGTTCCAGGTCATTGGTTTAAGGAAATGCCCTGCTGCCCATAATTCACCTGACCAGGGAGAGGTACCAAGAAAGAAACTGAAACATATCAAACAAAGAACTGATACCTGTTTCATTAAGAAGAAGTTTAAAAAGAGTATGTTCACAGGAAGAGGTGCAAAACAGAAAACTAAATATAACTGTAAAAGTTCAGGCCAGATTTCTGAAGAGTCAGTTTTTAAAGTTGGTTCCTTTTCAGAAAACTCTGTACCTTTAGTATCTGAAACAAAAAATACTTGGTCACCTGAGTTGTTTTCATAAACAAAAAATTACCTGAGCCCAATTCCTAAATTTTTAATACAGGTGAATCTCAAAACTTGCCTCTTGTGGCACAGAAAGTATTATTTACATTTTGCACACTTTAATAGGAGTAAACAGGGAAGACTGGACTGGGTGCTATTGAGTTTTTTAAATGTAAAGCAGTTGTTTTCTCTGTTTTATCCAGATATTGTGACTAAGACACTTAGGCACTTTATATTATATTGTTCATTGTACTTTAGTAATAATATTAATTTTTCTTTTCAAAAATATTTGTTGAAATTACAAGTACATCCATAAATAAAGCCTTTACAAACCAAAACAAAGTTTTATTTGTTCAGCTCTAATTTGAAAATGCCTGGTATCTAACAGACCAACTAACTCTATGCTGAGTTTATGATGCAAGGTTAAAAAGTCTATCTCAAAAGGTTTTAGTCTACTGGGTAAGATGGACGTGTAAACAATTTCAGTACAACACAAAAATGCAGTGACACATGTGCAGTGAGTGCTGCACACCTTTCAGTAGTCACTGAACGTGTCAACATCTCAAGCACTTTGAGCCAGAAACTTGCAAATGAAAGTCAAGCTCACCATATTCAAACTCGTCTAGTAGAGGTGAAATAGACCGCTTGGAATCTGGACTACTACTGCCCAGTGTTCTACAACAGCAGATCAGCTTGGAGTGCTAATAAGAGCCAAAAAGAGCAGTTTCCAAACCCTCAGGCAGCAACTCAGTGGTACCCTGTGGCTTTGTTTTCCATTCCTCATAGCACCTATTCAAGATCTTGCCACCAAGCTATTGCTGCCCTCCTTGCTTCACTTCACAGAGAATATTGAGATTTCTTGACATTCCCTCAACTTCCCACACCCACACCTACTCACTTGTTTATATCCGTACTCCCTCCCCTGACCCTTCTATTCTCAGAAAAGGCTGCACAATGTCTTGTGCTAATCTATTTGGGCTGTTGTTTCATTATGTTCATCTCTGGGATCCTGTAGCAAATCGTCCTATTTAAAAAAAAAATAATACAGTGATAGAGCATTTAATCAAACCACCTAGATTGACTCATCTTTAACATTTTGCCTTTTGTGTATGTGCCTACCTTCTTCCTACCTGTATAGATTTATATATTTTTGTTTTTGTTGAACCATTTAAAGGTAAGCTGCAAATAGGATACTTCATCCCTAAATAGTTCAGCAAGAATCTCCTCAAATGACAGACTGCTTTCTACATTACCACAGTAGTATCATCACACAAAAGAAATATGACAGTAATTCTTCAGGATGTTCTAATGTCCCATATTCAGGTTCTTCCCCTTGTGCCTGAATTATAGTTGTTGATATTTGACTGATTTCATCAAGGTTTATCCATGATTGTTGAGTTAGGGTTAGGCTACATTGCTTGATTAAAATGTTGCCTGTCAGATATGCATTGTAAAGAGTTTCTTTACAAAAGTAAAAAGTATTACAGCACAAAATATTACAGTCACCTACCTGTGGTGGCAAATGAATTTCCTTTTGTAAATAAGCCCTCCTAAATAAGTTTAGTTAGAGATACATAATTCATGAGCCCTTGTGATGCAGTTTATGAATGAAGATGTAGTGTAATGGGTAGAAAAAGGGCATGTCTGTTGTCTAGTCAGTGCATGTAAAGTCTTAATAAACATGCACCAGCTCAAGGAATTGGAAATCATTTGTGTTCTTTAAGTCAAAAGTTCTATTTCTGGCAAACTTCCTATCTCCCTCTGCGATAAAAGTCTAGCAGTGCCATTAGTAGTCACAGTGCAATGACCCTTCACACTATTTGTATTGACCTATACAGTGTTAACTGCAATTCCAAAATGCCATTTACTGAACGCGGCAGTATTTATGATGCTGTATCTGTTATGCCATTGGCAGTGCTGTTTTGAATGACTCAAGGTTTATTAACTATATTTTACTGATGGTTGCAAAAAATGAAGTCCTACCCAGATTATGAAGTATTCATTTTTCTGGTATTATATGTACCATCTGGACTTTGTAGCATAAACACTGAACACATATTCCAATGATGTCTTCTCTAGAACTCTCACGCTGTAATTACTGCATTCCTAGACTGTGACCCATTTCAGTGTTGGCCACATTTGGGAAGGATAGAGTAGAGGCCCATGGGTGGAACAAAGAGAGGTTTCATTTGTGCAAGGAATATCTATTATTCCATCAACATGGCTTAAGCCCAGATTTGGAGATCACAGGGTCATCACTGACTGGAAACGAGAGGACGTCATTAGAAGGACCTGTTGGCATTGTGAACCAACAGCCTTGAAAGGCCTCGAAGGAGACAGGGAGGGTGTAACACAAGACATAGAACCTGCATGAGCAGGGAGTGTGACCTCTGGTGGCAGTGGCAGGAGACAAGTAGGATTCAGGACTTCTGCTACACTGTCACATCTTAGATCCCATGCTTAGGCTTCCACATACAAGGTAATCCCAAGGGTCTGTAGTGGCCCTTGGGAGAAAATATACTGTCCCAGGCACAAAAGTGAGATTTAGAAAATTTCAAGAGAGGCACTTCTGGCCCCTCATCCAGGTTCCTTCCCATGGGATCAGATCTGGCCTTGCTTAATCCCAGACCCTGAAGGATGCTTTAAAACATTTTAAGCAGGGCACTTCAGAGCACAAGTTTCCCTGAAGCACGGAGACCTTAACAGGGCCCTTGCTTACCAAGTCTCAGGTACTTCCTGATGATTTTTCCTTGTCCTTATCCACTTCATTTGCCTGTGTTTTAAAAGATGGTGCCTCTTAGTTTTCTATTACTAATTCTTTTCTGCATGTATTTCCTAGTTGATTTTATCCACCTTCCTACACATAGGGCGTGTGTTGGTATGGTTTAGACCAGTAATCACCGCCCCCTCAACTCTAATGCATTCAGAGGTTGGGCTTTGGATGGTAACTGGATCATGGGGGGCACGACAGCTAAATGTGCTCTTAGCAGTAGGGCCTGGTCAGAAGGGGTGAGTAACTGTGGGTGAGATCTGAAACAGCGCGTCTCCCTCCCTGGCTCCTGCTGCTTCCCAGCTGCCGTGGTGGTGCGAGCAGCTTTCCTCTGCCAGGCACTTCCACTAGACCTTTTCTGCTTTGGAGCCAGCTCACCAGGGACTGTAACTGTGACCCCAAGTAAAACCTCGTAAGCTGTGGTATCTGGTAGGTATTGTGTCTCAGCAAGGAGGAAATGACTAACACCACTCATCATTCCTGTGGCAAAATATCTGACAGTTTAAGAGGAAAACCATTTTTATTTTGGCTTAGTTTCAGTCCATGCTTACTTGGTTCCATTGCTTCTAGGCCTGCAGTGAGGCAGCGACATCACAGCAAAAGAATTTGGCAGAGGAACGTGGCAGCCAGGAACCAGAGAGATGGAAGAGCCAGAGAGGAGCTGGAGCTGGAGACCAGATATCCCAAGGTCACAGTGCCTTGTTGACTTGCCTTGATGAGGCTTCGTCTTTTCAGTTTCCATGATCTCCCAGTAATGCCATCCAGTTATGATCTCATCAGTGAATTAATCCACTGATGGAGTCAGAACCTTCATGGTCCAGTCGCCCTTTGAAAGTACCACCTGTGAACACATGAGACGTGAGTTTGGTTTTGTGGTCCATTGTAGGTCTAATCTATAACAAGCTGTTCTAATTGAAAGACTTCTATATAGATTTTTTCCAGAGACTAAAATTATGTTAGTTTTTACTGTACTTATTTTTTCCCTGCTATCAAGAAGTGAAAGAGGGATGTTAAAATTTTTTCAGTGATTGTATGTTTGTTTCTCCTTTGAGTTCTGTGGATTTTTCTTTTCTTCCTATATGTCCTTTATTTTATTTTATAAATTAAAAAAACTAACAAAACAACAATGAAGACAAAATCAAAACAACACATGACCTCAAAACAAAATGATAGGAGTTAACAGTGGTTGCTACGTTACATACTGTTATCTTTAACAAAGTCGCTCTGTCCACCAGACATAAGAACATAAGATTGATCAAACAAAGACAGTAGCAATAAAAAAAAAAAATTGGAAATGATCTTTTTTGAAGCTATGTTATTAAGCACAAATTAAATCTTTTGTCTTCCCAGTGAATCTTCCTGATTTCATTATTAAAGTCCCTTTTTGTCACTGATAACACTTTTTGTCCTAAAATCTAATGATTATGTTAGCTTTGTTTTGGTTACTATTTGCAAAAAGTCCCCCCACCTTTAAAAAAAAATCTATCTGAATCTTTTTGTCTTAGATATGTTTCTTATAAGCCTCATATAGTTGGGTTTGGTTTTGCTGTCCAATTTAAGAATCTTTGTACTCTAACTGGAATATTTAGTTCTTTAACAATGTAATAATAATTTTGGTTTTTGTTTGTTTTACAGTACTTGAGGTTGAACCCAGAACCTTCACACTGAGCTGCACTCCCAGCTCTTTTTGTTTTTTATTTTGAGACAAGATCTTGCTAAATTGCCCAGAGTCCAGAACTGTGAGAAAGAAATTTCTTTATAAATTGTCAGGAATTTTTCTAATAATAGCACTATAAGGAGTAAGACAAGTAGGAATGTAATTTGCTTAAATTCAGTAGAAGGCAAATTGTCATTCTTTATAAAAATTCTAAATCTGTGTACTTTTTTAAAAGCAATTCCACTTGTAGGAATTATTCCATAAATATATTCAAATATCCATCAACAAATGTAAGTTATTTTATATGCCTAAAATGTTACTGGGAGGATATAGAAAAAAAATTTTAAAAGTGAAGAGTAGATAGTATTTTTTATAAATAAACATACAAATATACTTAGTATGTAGTATTTTTATAAACATACCTATACTTAGTGATTTCATAATATTTTAAAAACTAGCCACCTTCAGATGATGCTAGAAAACCAATTCATTATCTTGAAAAATGGTTTAAAAGGAAAAACTAAAAGTTTATCTTGCAGGAATTCTACAAAAAGATGAAGGAAAGTTCCCTATAATACATAAAATATTAAAATATTAAATTAAATATTAAAAATATTCCCTATAATACATTTATTAAATGGTAGCAGTAGGGTATCATCATTTTGCAGCCTCCAGCATATAACAGATGAACTCACTGAACATCAATGGCTGTTCACATTCCTAAATGAGACAAAAAAATATGCTTCCTAGTGGAAGAATTTACTACTTTTAGTGACCTTGTCAAAGGGATTAAACCTGAGTCTAATTCTCCCTCTGTATTGGCTGTCAGTTTGAAAGGTATACAACTAATAATGTGCACATTGCACATTAAAAATGAAATCTGCAAAATCCAGACAGAAACTGCAGGTCACACAGTCTGGGTTCTTCAACAGCTGACTGTAAGGGCAAGAAAGGGATGGAGGAGGAGCCTGTGCGCTAAAAGCACTTGAAATGCACATCAGTTTTTTCAGTGGGCAACACTGAACTCCAGGTGCCTTGAGAGGATCCCTGGGCGCATGGCTGCCTTGATTGCCATGGAAAAAGTAGCAGTGACTGAGGAAGAGATTCTTGGGGGGCCGGCAAAGTTGCATTTCTTGACCAGAATGCAAGGGTGTTTACCTTGGAATAGTTCATTAAGTGACACATCAGTCTGTTTATTTTTAGTTTACAATTAAATGTGTTTATAATTTTTTTCTTTGATTTTTGAGACAGGGTCTCACTATGCAGTTCAGGCTGTCCTTGAAGTCACTGTGTAGCCCAGGCTGGACTCAAACTTGCAGCAATCCTCCTGCCTCAGCCTCCCAAGTGCTGGGATCACAGGCATGCACTACCATGCCCAGCTAAAACTTACTTTTTTTAAGAAAAGAATGTGCCTTGTAATGAGTGGAGCAAAAGGCACTGAAATGAGGACCAGCCCTCTCTGAGCCGTCTCTTAGGCATTTTACATACTTTGTCATTTGCTTCTTAAAGTAACCTTTAGGAATGAGGAAGAAGAACCCTGTCATTCTGTAAATTAAAAGAAGTCAAATAATTTTTTTTTTTTTTGGTTTTTCCCCGGTACCGGGAACCGAACTCACGACCTCGCGCTTGCCAGGCAGGCGCTTTTGCCACTGAGCTAAATCCCCAGCCCCAGTCAAATAATTTATACAGTTCAAGATCACATCACTCCTAAGCAACAGAGCCACTGTACTACACTGCCTCTCCAAGGACTAAGTGCTGCGTGAGCCCCACCGCATTTAGTCGTTTCTCCATGAAACACCTTGTTTTAGGCCAGTCGCTGCAGTTACTTGAATAACTTCAGGTCACACACAGTTTCAGTATTCTGTAGTGCTTTTCTGCTTCATCACTTGGGTGATCAGCTTTAATGTGTGATTGCTCAGACAAAACTGACTTCCAAGGAAAGAAATGAATTCACCTATAAAAGTCCTACCTTTCTACAAATGGATTTCGGTCCATTTCATGCAGTTTCCTTTAGATGCTAAGTTACAGTGTATGACCACTTGGCCCTTCTCCTTTGAAGCTCCTTCAATGGCTTAAGCATTTTCTGCTGACTAGCTAGAGACACCAGCTCTGCCAAGATCCAAGTGTTTGTCCATTCCTTGCCTGCCTTGGGTGAAAAATAACTTGTGACATTGCAAAGCCCATGGCTTACTAACAGCCTTTCATTTTTAAATAATTTATATATTAGTACATGTTTGTAGTACATAATGTTTACATTCCTTGTGGGGAACTGATACATGTACATAATACATCTTAGTTCCTTTTTTTCATCCTGTTTCCCTTCCCTACTTTCCTCCTCCCCTGTCTATTGGTCTTCTTCCCTTTTTTTTTTTTTTTTGGTACATGTTTGCAGTGCCTATACATAGCACATCTTCATTCCTTTATTCATCCCCTATCCCTCCCTCCTTCCTCTCTTGATCTCCTTCTCCTTTGAGAAAAATCTATTTCCCGACATCCTATTATCTTTTATCTTGCTCTTTCTTTAATCTTTTATATGAGAAACCATGCGCTATTTAAGCTTGTGTGTCAGATTTATTTTACTTTATGTCTCAAGGTGCATCCATTTTCCTACAAGTAACTTGTTTACCTTTTATTATGGAAGAGTAGTACTCAATTGTGTGTAAATATATTTTCTTTATCCATTCATCTGTTGATGTATATATAGGCTGCTTCCAAGATTTAGCTATTATGAATCATAATGCTATAAACATGGGTATGAATGTACCACTACAATATGTTTCAAACTCTTTCAGGAAGATATCTAAAAGGGGAATAACTGGGTCAAATGGAATTTCTAGCTTCATTTTTTGAGGAATCTCCACACTGATCTCATAGTCAGTATACTAGTTTACATTCCCACCAATAGTGTAGATAGGTTCCTTTCGCCCCTCAGGTTCTATAGCATTTGTTATTATTTGATTTCTTGATGATGGTCATTCTTTCTGGGGTAAAATGGAATCTTGCTGTTGTTTTAATTGGCATTTCTTTCTTGGCTAGAAATGTTGAGCATTTCTTCATGTATTTATTGACCATTTGTACTTCTGTGAAGTGTCTATTCATTTTGCTTGCCCATTTCTTGATTAGGTCTTTTATTTGGGGGGGGTCTAATTTTTCTTAGTTCTTTATATAATCTATATATGAGTCCTTTGTCTGAGGAATGGCTGACAAAGTTTTTTTTTTCTATTCTGTAGGTTCTCTTTTCACTATGTTGTTTCCTTTGCTGTGCAAAAGCTTTTTAGTTTGGTAAGATTCCATTTGCTGATTCTTAGTACTATTTCCTGTGCAACCAGGGCTCTGCTCAGAAAGTTCTTGCCTAACGCCTATGGCTTCAAGAGCTTTTCCTGTTTTTTCTTCCAGCAGTCTGTTTCTGTTTTAGCAGTTAGTCTTTGACCCATCTTTAGTTTAGTATGTAGTGAAAGATACATGTTTAGATTCAATCTTCAACAGCCTCTCATTTTATGTTAAGTAACTGCAGGGGCTTGTTGCCAGGTTGGTAGATTTAGTAGTACCTGTAATCAGATCCAGTTGCTATATATAGTGGCTAATGATTATGACCGCAGTAATTGCAAGGTCAACCAATCCAAATCACCATGAAAATGGATATTATCCAAGATGACTAAAATACCCCCAAACCAGCAGTATCTAGAGAAAAATGTACTTACCCATAGAAGTTCTAAACTTCGTCTATATATATTTGGCAAAATAACTATGCTTAAGCAAGTTTTAAACAGATTGCCTTTTCTAGGGCTTTCAGTTTAACTGGTAACAGGTAAGACACTGATTGAAAGCATTTGAGCAAACAGTTTGAAAAGCTGAAAGGACATGATTAACTCCAGTCAATAAATGCCATTGCTATGTTATAACTCTTCCTGCATCTTGGTGTACATCTTATGCAATATAGGACAAGTTTATACCGTGACTGACTAAGCGTGTAACTGACTAGTCAGTTAGCCTGATTAGAACTAGACAGTCTCTCAATGGCCTAGATAATTTTTTATTTTTCGTAGTATACTACTACTGTTTATTGTGTCCCTATTATGTCATACACTATGGCATTTTAACTGCATTTCATTTAATCTTCAGAACATGTAATAGGTGGTATGTATTAGATTAGTTTTAATGAAAGAAAAACTGAGGCAGAGAGGTAAAAACTTGTTCAAAGTCACAGTCAGAATATCATAAAGCTAGGATATGAACGCAGTCTTCTTCGCTGTCGAACCTACAAGTATCAAGGCAAACATTGCTACCCTCGTGTCCATCCTGTTTCCCTTTTTGTAATGAAACTCCCTATGTGATGCAGGGCAACAAGATTCCCTGTTGAAAGGCTATATTTTTATGACCCCATTGCAGACCCAAGTTTTGGCAAGAAAGATACTGGGAAGTGGAAATGTTGCATGGAACTCCTAAGAAGTCTTAAAATGAAAGGATTAGGTTTTTTTTCTTCCCTAATGTGACTGGGACAGGGACATGGTGACTATGGCTGTAGCTGAAGTCTCAGCCTCTAGTCTGTGACAGATCACCCAGGGCACTCACCACACTGTGAAACCATAGGACTAGTCCCAGCCACCAGTCCTCAGGCTTTCACATGAGAAAAAGACCCTGTCTGATTTTCTCTGTCTCTGTGTCTGTCTCTCCCTTCCCATCCTCATCACCATCCCCCTCCCCTCCCCATCCCCTTCCCCCTTCCCTCCCCCTTCCCTCCCCCTCACTCTCTCTCTCTGACCCTCTCTCCCCTCTTTCACTCTCTTTCTCTGTCTCCTTGCTGGGAATCAAATCTAGGGACTCAAGGATATTAAGCAAACACCCCCAGCCCCTTTTAAGTTTGTAAAATTATATAATGTATAGTCAAATAATCCTAACCCAAATGCCACCTATGTCAATATTTTACATATATTTTGCCTTGCACAATTTTCTAAAGCCAAATGTGATCCACTGACTAGTAAACCAGTTTATAGCTCTAAGTTGTTTCTGTCTTTTGAAAAGCAGGGAGAAGGAGGAGAAATCAGTGGTAGAACACTTGCCTCACATGCATGAAGCACTGGATTCAATCCTCAGCACGATGGAGGGAGGGAAGAAGGAAGGGAAGAAGGAGGGAGCGAGAGAGGAAGCAGAGGAAGGAAGGGAGGGAGAAATGAAACCTGAGACACAGCTGCATCATCCTCACTTTACTCGCTAACCCTTTTAAACACCCAGATGTCCACGGACCTGGCATTTCCTCCAGCTCATGTGCCCTGTTTTGTGACATTTAAAGTCAATCCTTCCCCGTGTGTACATGGGGACACCACTCCAAATTTGGACTTCCTCTCTTCTGTATCATGAATCATCCCATGATCACTGCCATCCATGTTAATATAGTCTATTTTTAAAACAAAACTTGCTTTTGGCCTCACACCTTCTATCGTCACTGTCTCCATTCTTCTTCCAGTTCTGACGCATGCAGGGCGTTCTTTCATCCCCATTACTCCCGTGAAGTACCTCTTTCCGTGTCCTCACTGACTTTCATGTGAAACTCATGGTCATCTTACTCCGCAACGCTCCTCTTCCTTAGTAGGTTAACAGCACTTGGCACAGTCGATCACAGGCCATCAGAACAGCACTTTCTTGGGGGCTTTGTTCTGTTTTGCTTTTTCAAACAAGGTAGTTGCTTTACTGACTGAATGTTGGGATGCTCCAAGGAATAGTCATCGCCTTGGTTACTTTTCTCTTGTTGCTGAGACAAAATACCCCACACCCAAAACTAAGGGAGGGAAGGTTTATTTAGCTCACAGTTTGTGGAGGTTTCAGTCCATAATCAGCTGGCTCCAAGGCAGAGTGGCACATGGCAGAGGGTGACAGTTCATGGAGGCAGAAGACAGCAAAAGCAGCAACTGTAAGCAGGCTACCCTTCCCCAGGGCGGGTGTAGCGCTCACACCATCTCCATGCCCTCCTCTGGCAAAGGAGGAGGATGTTTCACAGTAAGGACCCTGGCTCCCTGCTGAGCCGCTTAGTGAAACTTGTAAACTTCTCAATTTGACACAGCATGTCGGCCATCAGTCATCATACCTTTTCCCCAGGTTACTCACACTTTGGTGATGTTAGACAATCTCATGGCTCTTAATACTGTCTGTACACTATCAGCTCCAAATTCCTGAGGCCTGATTTAGAATTATTCTGTTAACATATGTCAGATCATTTCTCTAATATTCAGAGAGCTGCCAGCCCATTACAAGTAAAATCCAAAGTCCTGGCAACATCAACCAAGATGCTGTGACCTCTGCCATTACACACCCCAACCTCATCTGTTCTTACCTCATTCGTTTTGTTTTGTCCATGTTAGTCTCTTACGCCCCTCGAGCACCAGGGATTCTTTTGCCTCAAGACTTTGCACATTCTGTTCCCCTTCCCCAGAACACTTCTCTTTAAGCTTTGCACACTGTTCCTTCTCTCACTTCCTTCAAGTCGATTTCCAAATGACACCTTGTGGACGCAGTGTACCCTTGGCCATTGTTTATGAAATAGCAACACTTCATTACTGCCCTGGTTCATTTTCCTCATAATAGTTATCACCGCGACCTACTCTATGCTTCTTTATGTTATACCCCTTTGATAGTATGATTTAAATTGCATGATTTGATACTATGGTTTAAATTGCAGTTACTCTAAATTTTAGTCACTGTTGTAGTTTCAGTGACTAAAACATTCCTTGCCACATAGTAAATAGCAGATAAACGAGGGCAAGCGCTGAGATTTCCATTTTGCATGTGAGGAAACAGCTTTGAAGCAGCTAATTTACCCAAAGCAATAAAGATACCGTTACTTTGCCTGTAAGCCTTTGTGCTCTGCATTCCTTTCGCCCAGAATGCTCTCCGTGTTTAAAGCAGGGCATTAATCTCTGTCCTCCCTCAAAACCCGTGCACTTCCTACCCCAGCTGCTGGAGATACTTTACAAAATAACAGTAAAAATTGAGTATAAATAAGCATCCAAAAAGTGTAGAAGAATGTTAGGCCTCAGACACTTGTTAGTTCTTATGCATGCCTCTCTAAGGTAAAAGTCAGAAAGACTCCTTTTCCTCCAAACTTATTTTGATCTAAGTTTGAAAATACAACTCTTCTCTGACAGGCTGAATAAATTCCAGGAATGGAAATTTAGATAGGCTGTCTTATATTATTAGCATGTGATTTCTTTCTTTCTCTTTTTTTTGAGACAGGGTCTCACTATGCAGGCTGGCCTTGAACTCACTACATAGCCCAGGCTGGCCTCAAACTCATGGTGATACTTGTACCTCAGCCTGCCAGAGTGCTGGGATTATAGATATGCGCCACCACACCTGGAATAACATGTGCTTTCTTGTAAGTAATGGAAGTAAGAGGTTTCAGTTCCTGCAGTGTGCTACAGTTCTCAAAATACTTAAATATGAGCACCTGGCCACAAGCATACCCATGTGATAATGGCTTAAATATAGCTCCAAGTTTTGTCTCTCTGTTGCATATATGTTTTGGGGTATGTAGACAGCATATATCAGCTATGATCTGACATGAAATAATTAAATCACTAATGACAGTGATCCTCAAGGTTTGCTGAAGAATTTTGTATTTGTAGCATTACATTTGCCCTAATGAGCAGCACAATAATCTAAACATTTAGATATTTGGGGAATAAAACCATATTTAAAACTTCTTGCCAGTGATCTCCAATAATTTGTATATGAATGAGCACTTAAAAATTTAATGCAAGTTTGCTATGTAACTAATAGAAAAGCCAATGTGCTGTGTGAACAAAGTTGCTAAAATTACCTTTGTGACAAAACAGCATCGCACCGTGTAGCTCAAGCTGGTCTTGAACCCACTGTGTACCCCAGGCTTGCCTTGAATTTGTGGGAATCTTCCTGCCTCAGCCTCCCAAGTGCTGAGATTACAGACATGTGCCACCACACCCAGCTGAAAAAGAACTTTTAAAATTTAGAAGTCGAAGTTTTTCCTCTAGCTAGTGGTATTCACTTCCCAGTTTCTGCTGTGTATGACTTACTAGATCATATCAGAATTATTTGAAATTGCCAATTTTTTAATTGATAGGAATACAATTTCATATGATACAAATAATAACAAAAGAACACCAGAAACCACAAAATATACAAACTCAGAACAGAAATTTCTGCAAACACCCTTCCCCCTTTGCTACTGGGAATTGAACCCAGGACTTTCCACAACTAAGCATATATTCTACCATGGACCTATAACCCCCTTATATCCTTTTAAGGAAGATACCAAAATAGAAAAGTTAGGAGTCTTATACTAACTACAGAGATAACAACATAAAATCAATTCAAACGATTCTACAAAGCCCAACAGTTTATAAATGTTAGGTGATGGCAGAGAAGGTTGCAGATTGCCTATGTTCACTTAAGTAAAGAACACCAGGCCAGGCAGCCCAAGCTCATCACTTTCATCCCTTCATTATCCTGTTCACTCTACCGTGCTCCATAGCCTACTGTACTTTATGAACACATATTGATTATGCACATTGGTGGAATTCAGAGTAATATTTTCACACACGCATACAGCGTGCATTGATCATATCCAACCACCTCTTTTCCACCCTCACCACCCACCCTTAACACCCTTTTGTCCCTAGTCATTAATCTACTTTCAGGCTGACTTTTTAAAAATTTCCACATATGAAAGCAAATATGTGATACTTGTCCTCTGTGTGTGACTTATTTTGCTTAAAAGGTCCTCCTAATCCATCCATTTTGCTGCAAATTATAGGATTTTTGTTTTCTTTATGGCTGAATAATAACTACACTGTGTATACATGATGTCATCAAAAACTGGTGAAGGTTTAGTGTTTGTTTTTTGAAACAAGGTCTCACTATGTAGCTCAAGCTTGCCTTGAATTCACTATTGTAGTCAGGGTTTGCAAGGCAATATATTTAATAAGGACATAAAATTTATAGGATTATTTTATAATATTCACCCAAAAAGTCAAAAGCAGAAGAGTGCAAGAGATCTGTCTATGCACTAGACACCCAAAGAATCCAGCTGAAGGCCCAGATCCCATGGCAGTGTCCTGCTTGAATCCAGCTGAAGACCTAGAGCCCATGGTAATGTCTTCCACAAGTCCAGCTGGAGGCCTAGAGCCCATGACAATGTCTCATGCAAGTCTGTATCAAGGACCTTCACTGAGAAGTCCGAAAGGTCAATGGTGGAAGCCAGAAAGTCTGCACCAGCATGATGAAGGATCTATACCAGCAGGCTGAAAGATCTGCCTTGTCGCCCGGAAGTGATGCTCAAGGTAAGGATCACAGCTCCCCTGAGAAGAACTGCAGCCATCCTCAGCAATAGCAAGGACCTGAGCTCCTCCAGCGATGAGAACAGCTGAGTTTATATCAAGAAAACCAGTGTGACAAGCTTCTCCAGGAGAACCAACAGCACATCATCTTCCCCTCAGATCTTCTTTTATGCTGTTGGCAACAATCCTCAGGTGGGCCTTCCACACCCAGCACCACGCTGATTCAGTGAATCTAGGTGTTACAAGTTGATCATTAGTTAATCCACCACAACTATATTCACTATGTAGCATATGCTGGCCTTCAACTCTTAGTGAGTCTCCTGCCTCGGCCTCCCAAGTACTAAGATTATAGGCGTGTACCACCATACATAGCTAAATGTTTAGTTTTTTTCATTTTTTACAGTAAAAGACACATTGCCATTAATCCCTCTGAAAATACTTCCCCTTGCATTGAACACCCTTATCCTCTTGTTCCTGGCACTCTCTAAAGCAGTTCTAGAAGTTCTCTCTTGTGTCTTTATTTGTGCTGTTGCAGTTGCCTTAGTGTCCTAAATCAAATAGGAATGTTAGCCTTCCATAGTCGTTTTGACTTTGGGGAAGAGCGAGAAAGAAGTCACACAGTGCCAGATCTGGTGAATAATACGGAGGAGGACACACTGTAATGTTTTTGACAGAAATTGCCCTGAAAGAAACATGTGTGACACAGATCATCGTAATGATGGAGGATGAAACCACTGGCTCATTTCTCAGGCTGTTTTCTACACATACCATTTCTTAAAAATTCAAATACTTAACCTTTCAAAGAACCAACTCTTTGATTCATTGATTCTTTGTATTGTCTTTTTAGTCTCCAATACATTAATTTCTGCTCTTATCTTTATAATTTCTTCTTTTGTACGTGCTTTGGGCTTGGCCTGCTTTTCTCTTTCCAGAAGTTTGAGGTTTAACATTAAGTTGTTTATTTGAGTTTGCTCTGTTTTCCTATATGGGCATTCATTGCTATAAATTTCACTCGTAGGATTGTTTTCACTGCGTCCCATAAGTTCCGATAAGTTGCATTGTCATTATCGTTTAATTGTACTAATTATTTAATTTCATCTGTGACCCATTAGTAGCTCAGGAGGGTTTGATTTAATTGCCATGTGTGTATGACATTCTTTTTTTTTGTTGTTTTTTTTTGTTTTTTTTTGTTTTTCTCCGGTACTGGGAACCAAACTCACGACCTTGCGCTTGCCAAGCAGGCGCTTTGCCGCTGAGCTAAATCCCCAGCCCATTTATGACATTCTTGTGGCTCTTTTGCCATTAATTTCCAATTTCATTGCACTACCGTCTTATAATATGCATGAGGTAATTTCAGTTCCTTTGCATTTACTTAAGCATGCTGTATGAGCTAATATGTGATCTATTTTGGAGAACATCCTGTGTGCAGCTGAGAAGAATGTGTATTCTGATATTGTTGGGTGGGGCACTCTAGACATCTATTAAGTCCATTTATTCAAAAGTTTGGTTCAGTTCTAGTAATTCATTGTTGATATTTTGTCTAGTTGATCTATTTGTGACAGTGGAGTACTGACATCTCCCAATATAATGGTATTAGTGCTTATTTGATTTTTCATGTCCGTTAATATTTGTTTTATATAGTTGGGTGCACTGGTATTTGTTGCATATATATTTAT